CACCTACACTTATCTAGGCAGCACTGTTTCAACTACAGGCGACACGGGCACAGACCAGGTTATCAACGCCAGTCGGAATCGGAAAAGCAAGACAGGCGTTCATTAGCCTGAAACTAGTGTGGAGATCTTCTGCACTCAGCATATGGAACAACATCCGGATTTTCAACACCAACGTCAAGTCAGTGGCTCCTGTATGGTTCAGAGACTTGGCGCGTTTTGAGAGGCATTTCCAACAAACTACAGACATTCATCAACACCTGCCTACGCTGGCTCGTTACTGAAGATCACATGGCCAGAATAATTAGAATAAGCAATAAGGAACTCTAGCAACGAACCAACGAAGCAAGGGCTATCACTCAACAAATATGCGGTGGAAGAAAGTGGAGATGGATTGGACTGGGCATACACTGAGAAGGCCGACTGGGGACATCACGCGTCAGGCCAGTTGCTCGAGTGGAATCCCCATGGAAAGTGACGAGTTGGACTTCCGAGGGTGACATGGAGGAGATCGTGCGAGGAGGGAATGAGAGCTTGTGGGCTGTCGTGGAGCCAGGTTCAAAAGATTTCAGAGAACAGAGCGCATTGAAGACGTGCTACTAAAGCCCTATGTTCCATTAGGAGCCCAAGGGACAACTAATAAAATAATAAATAATGAAATATCTTATATCCTAATAATCATTGTACTTTTAGACTGTATGCAGCTGAAGAGTGTTCATGAAATTTGTCTAGAGATCTCTATATACATGAGATTAGTATTCTATAGGATTACCTTTAAACATAAATAAGAATTCGACACTGGAATCCAGTCCAATTATCCTACATATACGAAAAGTGTTTGTGTTATTTGTGTTCCTAAACACAGCATATCAATGAACAACCTAACAAGAACAGATCGATTAACTGGACCAAATACAACCTAAGTTATAAATCAACAAAACTTGGTATATGATAAAATAACCTTCAACTTTAAAGAAACTATTACCCATAGTTGTTTTAATATGCTAATGATGAACCTGATTACTAGTTAGTTTGAATAAATGCGAAACATTTTTATTTACTTTAACTTTACTAATCAATTTTTTTCTCTTAAAAAAACAAAATGAAACGTGACTACTACAGTCATAGACGTGATTTGTACACATTACACTCAATAGAGACTACTTAAACTTAATCAAATCAAAATTATACAAACTAACTGGCAATCAACACTAAAATAAAACTTTAACATATACTTCCGAATTATAAGTTCACGATTGTAATGAAATCAACGAAGGTACATCGTAATATCAATGACAATGATTCGAGAAAATGAGAATTTCACATCTTCCTACAAGCATTACAAGTTTCCCTCTCAGTAATGTAGGACAAAAGTCATCAGAATCAACGTAAGACCTTGCATACAAGTGCATCGATTCAAGTTGCCACACCTTTTATCAACTCATCAAGTAACAAGGCAATAAAATGGAAGATGAAGAAGGAAAGATAAATCAGTCAAAGGAAGTAGATGTAGGAAGAAGTAAAAGAGAGAATGGTGGAATGAGGAAATGAAGAGATTAAGTATAGCGGTTAAGATGAGGATAATATGTGTATGCATCTGCGCCACTGACATCGGTTCTCAGCTATATCACCTAGAGTCTCCAACCACTGGTTTCTCTTGTCCCGTGGACCCCAACCACCTAGTCTGCATCACCCTATATGGCTAAAACCAACAGTCGAAGACTTCATCTATTGATGTAATATTTTTGTCTGGCAGCCTTCATCCTTTCTCCAGCCTGAACCTACTTCGTCTAACATTGTGTGACGAGGCAGACAGTGGCTAAGCATACATAACACATGTCTAAGTCATGTCACTCGGTGAAGGTTCAAAACTGTATCAAACATCTTACCTCTCCTCCGTAAAACTTTACGCCTGACTTCTGCTTTACTCACGTGGTGACACCATGAAACACGGCCTATGCTACAAAGGCAGCAGTGGTCAAACACCTGAAGCTTTCTCTTATCTTCCCTCCTCAATGCCCATGTTTCACAGCCATATATACTAGGACAGAGCGAACTGCAGTGAAGTGCACTCGACCCTTACTAGACAATCGGATATTAAGAAAGCGCTACAGATGGCGTAAGTTGACAGAACCTGATCGAGCCTTTTGTAGTAGTGCAGAGATCCCGTCGGTCAAGTTGTCATGCAGCTCGACAGTAAAAGAGTGATGTTAAAGTAGACAAAGATGTATGGCAAGAGAAAGAATCCGAAAATCAAGGTTAGTGAAAATATTTAAGTTTTAGAAGACGACAAAGAGTGAATGCATCTGTGCCACTGTGAGCAGTCAATTTTCAGCCGTCACCAAGGGTCTCCCAACCATTAAACTCTTTTATCTCGATGACCCCGAACAGACATTCTACAACTCCTTACATGGCTCAGACCAACAGTTAAAAGTTTCATGGACTGGTGGCACTTCTTGATCTCGTCACAACCTAATCCTATTTCGACTGACATAGCACTTTAACATAGGTGGTGACTCAGCACGCACAACACGTGTTCACGCTGTCAGTCGGTAACTTTCCACAACCTCATCCATTGGTTTGCCTTTCTTCCCCAGTACGCTTCGCCTAACCTCAACACTGCTCTCACAGTGACTCCACCATACATATGCGGCGTTACCCAACAACTGCGGTCAAAATCCTGCAACTCTCTCATACCGTTTTTTTCAGCGGCCATATATCACGTCCGAATAACACGAGAGGGCAAACTGCAGTGCAGCATACTCTTCCTTTAACAGGTAGTCAGATAGTTCGCTGGCGTCAGGGATGACGCGAGTTGGCAAATATGTCAAACGTGCCTTCTATATCCGAGCAGTGTTAAATGTGATGTAATCAACAGACACAACTGACAGATTCAACTGTTTCCATATGAAGTAATGTTTGCAATAACAAAATTATTTAAAGATATAATACTAATTTTGGATACATGTTGCTTACAATGCAATTTCGAATGAATTCCACGGTGGTTTTTGCTTCGGTGAGCTTAGCACTCTACTAATGTCCCATTTATCGAAACAGTTAACTACATTTGCGATGAATTAAGAGAACGACAGATAGACGTAGGAATCCCACTGGAAAGAGTTGAGGAATTGCTACTAAAATGCACTATGAATGTTCACTTTATGTTTAACAACGAACTATATCGACAAGTAGATGGGGTTGCAATGGGCTCTCCTCTGGGTCCTATGCTAACGGATATCTTTTTAGTCAAACTTGAAAACGGTGCACTTGGGGACACACTGGATAAACTAGACTATTATTGCCGGTATATCGATGGTACGTTCATCATTTGTAAGAGTGGCCACAGTAAAGATGATCTCTTGAATACCTTTAATAACGTTCACCTGCAAAGAAGAACATGGGAATAGTATTCCTTTCATAGATGTCCTCCTCATCAGAAAAATGGATAGGTATATTAAAAGGAATATTTTTCGAAGGAACACATGAACTAGTCAATTTATTCACTTTCATAGCTTCACATCGATTTAATATAAAAGATATCTGGTCAAATACCTGAGTTACAGAATAAGAAACATTTGTTTTGATGACTGTGTTGAAGAAGAAATGAATAAGCTGAAGATAACATTGCAGGAAAATGGTTATCCGCTAAACTTCATAAATAAACATATAACGAAATCTATAGAGAAGATAAAGAAAGACAATGTTGCTAAGAAGCCTATATATCTTAGACTAAGTTTCAAAGGTGATATTGCCGCGGGTATCATAACACATCGACTAAGTAGATTAGTCGAAAGGACATTCAATGCGGCGGAACTTATTGTCAGCTTCTCAACCGAACCATTACTGACACAGCAAACTAAAGATAGGTTACCTATGATGGCCACTTCAGTGTGCATTTATGAGTTCAACTGCTCCTGTAGAGCCACTTACATAGGCGGTACTCAAAGGGCTCTATCCATGCACATTCGTGAACATGTGCCATCTTGGTTAGGGAAAGGAATGATAAAGAGCATCAACTGTGCAATCCCCTCACATCTAGTAGATACCCGACACCAGATCAAAGTTGATCACACCTTTTCTGTGATATACCGTGTCACTTGCAATCTCCCTATAGGTGCATGACTTCGCATCTTATCATCCATAGCCGTAGTCATAGGGATCAACCCAAGAAAACCGGACCTATGTGTCCAAAAGAAATATGTTCATCCACTTTGTTCACCTTGGCCCATAAACAGGGTCGACACGTTCCTTATGAACTTTCCTACAACTAATTGCATATTTTAACCTCCAATCACTTTCTACTATATTGTTAGTACTTTGATGAACATTCATTTTCTTATGTCATTAGTTTTACTCCCTTCTTTATTCATACCACAACCTGTCGTCATTTTCAACCATGATGTAATACTTCACATTTGTGTTATTCTCTATTTCATTATAGTATTCACATGACTTTCACCCCAATTGAATATAACTCATCACTACCTAATTATTATTTGACCCTCAGTAAACAGACACACACACGTCCATACCCCAATAAAAATATACAAATGAATCATCATCGGTCTTGGTTATAATGTGTTCTCTAAACTGGGTTGTTGAATCCAATTCAGAGAACACAATATAACCAAGACCATCCACCTGAGCTACAAATATTCTCCACTATTTCAGAATCATCGTCTATAGATTTTGTCTCCTCACTTCGTAATTGTACTGTCAATGGCAGTTCCACTATTCTTTTCGATTCGATCTGCCTCCCATTTACCCATAACACTGATTGCCTCAATATAGTAAAATTGTACATCATGCGTTATTTCGGCTACTTATTCTCATAGATTTATACCTGTAGAACCTTAAGAAGAAGTAGTTATTGAAAACAATTGTTCGCTCAAATTATTCTTGTTCAGAATAATCTAAGGGGATCTTTAAATTATATAACACTAAATCAATCGAAATTTAAAACAATCACCTCAACAATTAAAACTATAAATAGGCGAACTTACTTATCAACAATCAAATTTTGTCGCGGAGTGGAATTACGACTAGGTGATGCTGTTGCCCAACAATTTTGTAATATTAATTTACTTGTCTTTTGAGGATTGATCAATGAAACAAGGGCATAAACCTTATCACCTGGAGGTATAGTGATAGGTTGATTCAATTGAACAGTGAATCTAGAATAGAATAATCTTAAACTACTTGTTTTATATACAAAAGATAGTGGAAATTACTAAGAATAAATCAAATATGAATCCGGAAATGACTGTTTCAGTTTCTTTCTTTAACTTCTATCCTGATGGATTTTTAACAAGGATATGTTAGGACTACGGTTAAGGACTACTGACTAAACTGACGGGAGAATCAACTGGTAGACGGAAATTCAGTACGATCCTCTATAACCAGTCTCATTTGTTGCTTATCCCAGTTTTTAGTAAAGAAGAGAAATCCTTTCATGATAACCATCACTTGGGTAAAAATGGTACCTATAAGTTCTGCAATCAACAAAAAACGCCTAAGTGAGGCTCTAGAACAGGAAACACATACATTGCTTTAAGTGTCTAGACCAGATCACCCAACACTAGATCTGCACTGAAAACTTATTTCTCTTGATTTGAAGGAGATATTCAAATCCGTCGATCAAAAAATCACAAGAGAATGTCTCCCAGCATAGGAGGTATCCACTAAGTATATGACAGTACCGAAGTCCATGTGCAGCCAACGATGATATACCAGGTGAGTTGATCACGTTGACGAATTTCTGTAAAAAAATGTCCACTTTTTTTTTACTTTTTTCGTCAAAGATATGCTTATGGAAGTCACCTTCTCCTAGTCTGACTTTACAGAGATGGACCGCATAGCAAGATACTCCTTATGTGACTTGGAGTAAATAGACGAAAAGTCCTGTAAAGCGGAGATACTGGTAACACCTAGTCCTCTGGAAGCAACATTCGATAACTTGTGATCTTAAAGAAGGTGGTTTCTAGTGGTTGGAGAGTCTAGATGAGAATGGTTCAAATTCACTCTCAACAGTTCATATGCCTTCTCACACATTACCTTCACTCCAATGGTCATATAAATTTTCGTTGCGTTATCCCTTTTCATATCTTTCTACGACTTTCTGAGACTTTTAATTACTCCCCTTCTTATTTCTCTATCTTTCACCTAAACACCTTATACCGTTATATACTGACATGAGATGTAGCAATGTGAAAAGTCAGGCATTACTCCTACATCCTATGTTAATACTGACTGCTTGCAGCTGATGATAATCTATAACGCAAAATACGATGTATGTGACATGTAATATTTACCGATCGATGTTAAGTAGTCTCAAAATACACATTTTGGTGACCTTGAAATAATTTTGATAACAACGATGCATAACAAATTGAAAATTACTACAAAGTTGAGTTAAGGACAAAGTCGATTGTATCCGGTAAGAAAAGTGCTTTAAAGTATTATTAACCACGAACTGAAATCATCTGGAGAACTACTGAAAACCTAGGGCCAATGAACAGTTGCTTTGTCCTACTATGGGACTCCTCAGTAGTACCTATCCACGACCCAGTTAGGGGTCGAACTCAGGATATTCAGGTTTCACGGCGAACGTGTTAATCACACTTATGTTTAACACAATACTATGAAGTTTCACATCACTTTACTCTCTCAATAGTTAACAAATAGAAAGAGTTTGCACTGAACATAAAAAAAGTCAAACTGAAAGGTCGGTCACTGATTCAAATTCTTCAGCGACCTAGATTTTCATTTTGTTCAATGTTGATATCTGTACATCGTTAGCGACCACAGCAGTTTTAGAAACAACACTGGCGATGGAGATGGGATATTGGTATCCAACTTCAGACTTAGTGGCTTTATTTTTGAAGCAAAAACTGCATATAAATGATGTGTTTTTTGTCAAATTAAGTTGTCTTTCTTATAATAACAGGCTCATCTTTGCCTTCTGATTTTCACGGCTCACTGAAGTATCAGGTCTGAGGGAGAACGGTCACTATTCGTATCCGATTCTAGTATCCGATTGCATTAGTAGCGTTTCTTGTATTTCTTACTATTCTATCAGTCATTTCCACTCGGTCACTTTATTTACGTACCTCCAATGTCTCAGTGATTGACTATAATGTCTAAAGTGCACCTGGCTCATTTAGCGTATACAAACGACATAGTCATGTCATGCACAGATGCTGACAAAATCCAGACTGATATTGATCAACTCCTAGTCTACAAACAGGGTGATGAAGTAGTTTATATGCGTTGACTATTTCACTTACGAATTTTATTATTCTTTCTATATGAATCTCCAGTCTGCCTATAACTTAATACGAACTTGAAACACACTATAACATTTCTCAGACAATGAACTACCTATTATATATATAAGGCTGTTGTAATCGCTTATATCCCTGAAGAAAATAAAACGCTATTTTAATATGCCTGTACATACCCATCCTAAACATTCTTTCAGATGGTAGGTTACATCTTTGGATTTCTTCATTCGGAAATAGAAATGAATTATGAAACGTATCATGGAGTAATAGCATTTGTTATTAGCTAATATTTTATTTGTACAATATATTCAAGAAAAAACCAGATATCAAAAACTAATAATGGATCTCATAGTAGATGGCGATAAAATTACTTTTGCTTTGAATAAGAAGCATCATATTGTCTTATATTCACATTGATAACGCGTATTGTTGATTTCATCACTGTTTATTACCAAGTTCTAGTGAAGACGTAGCATTCATAGTTGTATTGCTTTCTCTGAGCTGGATGGTGTAATCGTGAAGTCTTCACTTTTTCCCGACATTAACACAAACTTCCAGAAGTTCACCGTGAGTGATTCAGTAGCCTACGGTGAGGAAGTGATATGTCATTCTTGTTTCATTGATAACACAAACTTTCCCATAGGCTATTACTCTGACTAACTTCTGACGTTGCAGTTGTTTGTCACCCTTCCTACTCGTAGACAGACCTAGTCCATGTATATGCACCTAATCATCGCTGACTAAGCCTAGGCTTCTAGGAATTTTCTGGTACTCACGATTTAACTACTTGTAAGTAGTATGAAACAGATTTTAAAAATTAGAGCATTTTTTACAGACTACTTAAGGAATCACATGGCTAGCAATCTACCCTCCAATCAGTAGGAGAAGACATAAGCTTTAAGATTGTAGAAATCTTAATCACTATCCTTTGAAATGAGAGGAATGCGAACAGAAATCTATCCTAAACTTAAATTCAATCTCCCACTTTATGAATATTAATTATATGGTCTTATACATAACCAGTGATGCATAACATGGCTCTTGGAGAAGAAATTGTAATTATTACCTGTTTGACAAAGTACATTTTATGTGCATAATGCACGTTGACTAGGAGGGGAAATCATAATTTTCTCCAGAAATATAAAGAAAACTTGAAACGATGTTAGAACCTATTATCCCTCACTTAAGGATACCAAACTTTACAAACATCATAAGAGAAGAGAAGGCTGATTATAAGAATTATAAAGAAACTAGGCGAAGATAAGTTAACGGTAGTGATGAATTTTGGCTAGCAATGGAATTTAGAACGCGCGTTTCGTCCTATTCGGGACTCGTCAGCTGGATGTATCTGCCTCTCAGTGAGCGCGATATGAGGACTGTTCCCCACTACTTCTATTAGTCAACACTTAAACCGTACTCATGATTTTTTTTCCTAGAGGACATCACTGGTCGATGATTTTTAACCATCAGAATAAATGTTTGTCTAAGAAAACATGATAGTTATTTGATTGAAGTTGGCACGCTTTTGACCGTACTGTCGGCAATTTCATGGATAAGTAAATGAGCATAATATTAGCCTACGAACTGATTTACAAGAGCACAATATAGACCCCTTCAATACGAATTAAGAATGAAAACGGCCCAGTATAACTCAGTCACATAACAGTACACGACATGTAGTGACTTATATGTAATGTATATGAAGAGAAGCTTCTAGCGATGAATGACTTCTGTTTTCCCATAGGTGAAACCAACTCAAGTGAGTTTAGTAGTAGTATTAGCAAGACAAAATTACAAGTTTCAAACAACAACAACAAGTGATACCCTTTGCACAAGAGGTGGCTTCTGTGACCCAGTGACTTAATGAGCAACACTTTGATATTTGAAGCGATGGATCCTGCCTTCAAGTCTTATCATGCAAAGGTAGTATTCATCACGGACTGATATCTGTTAGGAAACCATTGAAAACCCAGGAGCACTGGACAGCTGTTTCGTTTTAGTATGGGACTCTTCGGCAGTACACATTCACGACCCTGCTAGGAATTGAACTCACCCATTGGGTCGGAGTTCAATGATTTGCAGATTCCAACTTTTTTCAACCACGATATAGAGCGACTACCAACTAATATCAGTCCATGATGAATACTACCTCAAAATTGAAATCCCCATTAACCTCAAAATACATCACTGTATAATGCTCATTAGTGACGTGCTTCGAGATGGATATCCCAAAGTTCTAATGAGAAGCCGTGATATGTAGGGTAAATCAGTCAGAACGGAAGCGGATGCCAACTGAAGACTTGAGTGATAGTCGCGTTATGTCGTGAAATGACAGAAGATGGAAACTGTGAACTAGTGAATTCCGATACAGTGGCTGAATGATTAACGCGTTCGAAGTGAGACCTAGAGGTTGTAAGTTCGATCCTAACTGGGTCGTAGGCATGTGCTGCTAGGGAGTCCCATAGTAGGACAAAGCAGCTGTCAACTGGTCCCAGGTTTTCAGCGGTTCTCCAAATGATGTCAGTCCGTGATGAATATTACCTCTAAAATTAAAATTCCCACTCATTTAGAAAGGACACAAGATTATAAATAAACAAAAAGTTGAACTCAAAATGAAACCTTAAACACTGGAACATCAATAAAAACTTACTGTTGATCACGATATAATTTCAGAGATGAAGAAATAGTTTCACTATAACTCAATAAATTTGTAGTAATATTTGGTGAAGCAAGTGCTTCAGAATGAATTTCATTTGATCGAGGTATCAAGCAGGTAACACTAAATTTCATTGGTAATTTTGAGATTATACCATTTTCTGGAGTTAAATATACTCGAATCATATCCAATTTAATTGCAAGCGATGTTTCATTGCTCTTTTTCAACATTCAATATGTACAATATTTTATTTTTGGCAAAAGTAAATACGCGGGAAGTTTAAACATTAATTATTTTTTTATTGGGCGTATAAAATTGAACGAAAAATAAAATTTTAAACACTTTATATCAACTTTTTGCAAAAAAAAACAAGTTTTATTCTCAGTGATTGAATAATTTGAAATTCTACAGATAGTGAGTTAATGATGTTCGGGACTCATTAGCTTAGAGAATAACGCTCTGGCGTTTGAAGTAATCGGTCCTGCATTCGAGTCTTAGTGAGAACAACATCGCCCACTGGAAGGTAGATATATACTGTTTGATGAATATCCAATAGGATGGAACTCGAATTCGGAAATACTAGCCGTAAATTGTTTTCCGTATGTGTAAAAATACAATATACCTCCATATGTGTGTATCTACCAGTTCACCTGCTCCAATGGAGCAAGATAAACCAGAGACTGATATCATTGCGTACATAAACACTGTCATAAACATGAAAGGGAATGTAAAAGAAGTTCTATCCTTGAATATTTAACCAATCCTAATCATTCATCTGACTCAAAAATTGGTTTTCAAATTGTTCATCGAATCCGTTGTGATACTTAACATTTTCTTCGTCTTCGACTTTCAAAAACAACAGAGACCTTGACTATTCATGTACTGAAGCCCTATTTCAAAGAAGTCTCCACCTTGACCTTTAATTTAGTCTTGGATTTTTTCGTGTTTTCTGTTTTTCAACTTTCCCCTTTTGTTAGATTCATCTTCGGACTCTTATATCATCATCAAACGTTGATGACTCGCATAGACAGTTGTAAGTAATATATGAAGAGAAGGTAGAACACAATTTCATTCCACATGATTTATTCCGAATTTTACTTTTGCTTGAATAGTTTCCTGTGTTATTTCGCTTAATCACGTCACAAAAAAATGTTGGTTGTAATTTAACAACTTGTCTACTCCTATTACATAACGCTTTATTGATCTACTGTCTTCTTCAATTTTACGTTCCTTTGTGAGTTATATACATTTTATGGACCATTCTATATATTACATAATACATTTGGTTATCACTCATACTTCAAGTTCGGTGGCTAGCACGTTACCGTCAAGCCACTGGGTCAGAATCCAATGCTCCATATTTCCAACTCCTGTTAGATCACGACATTGTGCAACTGCCACCCAGTTTCATCGTTGAGTAACTATCCTCACGACCATCAGGCTTATTCATATTACTTAATCTTTTGTTTGTTTATTAGCCCTACCGTGTTCTTTCGTAATCCATTCTTTTATTACCCAACCTTCACATCATTACCAACTAGTATTATTATTTCAACTGTAACCAATTTGTTCATAAAGGAAACATACACTAACCATGGACAAAAATGAACCTCGTCACACAAAAAGCGATACCAGATGGTCATACAAAAGTAATGAGGGAAGCAAGAATACACCTTGACCTGGCTTCAACTCTCTCAGAATGAACACGGATATGATAAGAGGTATTGAAGGAAACGAGAAGAGACAGAGACAAAGGAAGGAATGTTTATTATTAACAAGTGGTACGGTAGTCGTTAAATATGGTACACCTTGCACTGAGACAGTCATCTGCAAAATATGCATCATTTCCTCTCCTGCTTCTCGCTTGATTTGCTCTTTATGCGCCCGCATTGTCTCTTGCGTTTTTCTGGGTAGAATCCTTACCCATTATTGGTAATTCCCTATGATTTCTGCCGCCCTCTCAACACATACTACTTATATCCATTCTGATCAGCAACGCCCACTACAGTATGATTATCTAGGCAAATGTAAGCTTTGATTCTTCACTCACATACTCAATATGTTCATCATTGTTTCAATAGCTTGACAATTCGAATAAATAATTGCCATTGTGATATATATATATATATATATATATATATATATATATATATATATAAACCCTTGGAGTAGCATATTAGAACAAATAACAAAAGATGTTAATGATGGATCGTGGCTAGGAGTGGAATCCAGGATGCGCACTTCCTCCTATCTGGGACTCGTCAGAGACTGATCAATTCGGTTTAATCAACGACCGTAGAATTCAAGCAATAACACTAAAACTATATCCGTCGTACAAGAAGTGGCTATCGTGGCTCATTGATGTAGTGGATAACGCGCTGGCGTTTGAAGCGACCGCTCCCGAGTCCGAATCCAGGTGAGAACAACATCACTCACTGGGAGGCAGGTACATCCAGCTGACGAGTCCCAAATAGGAGGAAATGCGCATCCTGGATTCCACTCCTATCCACGATCCATCATTAACATAATTAGAACGCAGGCAATATCGAGGCATCCGCACAGGAGCCCATATGCCGATAGAGACCGATCAATTGGGTTCAATCAACGACGGCATAATATAAAAACAATTATACTGAATAAGAAAATAAATAATTTGTGCATTATCCCTCAGCGTTTCGATCTTGCTAAGAACAACCTTTTCTTCAAAAGTATGAATCTGAGACATTAAGTTTTCAGGTTAATATTCAAGTTTTGGCACACAAGGTGGTGACCTTAACAATCATCCAACTACATCGTGATATGGAACAAAGATGAATTAAATACTCAGGTGAGTGAATAAGCGAATCGGTCAGAGAAGCTTTTTTCAGTTATGCGATTAAGATGGAACAAAAATAGGGTGGGGAAATTTTTTAGTTCGTCTATGAAAAGTACAACGCGGTTGAGTCATCAGGGGTGAGAAAGAATAGATCACTAGTTTGGAAGGACGAATGCTTGAACATCAGACAATATATAATAAATAAATAATAATAATAATGATAACGATAAACGTACTTTTGGTAACACTTGAAGTATGAGTGATAACCAAATGTATTATGTAATATATAGAATGGTCCATAAAAAGTATATAACTCACAAAGGAGCGTAAAATTGAAGAAGACAGTAGATCAATAAAGCGTTATGTAATAGGAATAGACAAGTTGTTAAATTACAACCAACATTTTTTTGTGACGTGATTAAGCGAAATAACACAGGAAACTATTCAAGCAAAAGTAAAATTCGGAATAAATCATGTGGAATGAAATTGTGTTCTACCTTCTCTTCATATATTATTTACAACTGTCTATGCGAGTCATCAACGTTTGATAATGAAATAAGAGTCCGAAGATGAATCTAACAAAAGGGGAAAGTTGAAAAACAGAAAACACGAAAAAATCCAAGACTAAATTAAAGGTCAAGGTGGAGACTTCTTTGAAATAGGGCTTCAGTACATGAATAGTCAAGGTCTCTGTTGTTTTTGAAAGTCGAAGACGAAGAAAATGTTAAGTATCACAACGGATTCGATGAACAATTTGAAAACCAATTTTGAGTCAGATAGAATGATTAGGATTGGTTAAATATTCAAGGATAGAACTTCTTATACATTCCCTTTCATGTTTATGACAGCGTTTATGTATGCATTGATATCAGTCTCTGGTTTATCTTGCTCCATTGGAGCAGGTGAACTGGTAGATACACACATATGGAGGTATATTGTATTTTTACACATACGGAGAACAACTTACGGCTAGTAAACGCCAAATGAAGTTTGCCTGCTGAATAGGTCCTACTAATTGACCTGGAAAGACTAGTTTTCAAGATGTCTAGTGCTACATCACCTTTAGATATCAGTTTTGATGAACAAAGTCATTAAGGAAACTAAGTTGGTAACTAGTTTCGCATATTTTTTACCAACAAATCGTCTATGATAGTCGTTTCCTGTAAACATACCCTATTAAATCTCCAAGTACAACTTGCATACAATGTGTGCTACAAACAACTATAAAAGAGTTACAGCATGTATAAATTTGAATATTGTATACTCCAAATTATCAATACTTAGAAAAAGTTATTAGTGATAGACAATGAGAACATCAGGATGAAAACATTGTTTTGTTGTTTTCATTCATTGAGAAATACACCTACTAAACTAGCTGATTTCCCTTTAAAACAAGCAGCGAAAGTGAAAAAAAAAAGCAGAATTTAGTTAATTCATAAATTTCAGTAGTACTTGTTAGCTAGATACTCTGTCTACTTAATTATATATACCGTTATATAATCCAAAAGAAAATAGATACATTTAATAACGTAAACTGAGATATCGATTTAGGCGCGATAAAATAGAAACCCAGTGGTCACTGGTTCGAATCCGCCCAAGGTTCACCTTCAATCATCACCTAGTATAAATACTAGTCTGTCAAACTATGGTTATCTCAGATAGTCAAATGATAACATAGAAAGCAACAGCATCCTGGATTCCACTGCTAGCCACGATCCAACCTTAATAGAAATCAACAGTTTTTTAAGGTCAAACGGATAATAGGGTAGACGTGGATATTCAAAATTGAATGAATTGGGGACAGATTACATAATTAATAGTGAAGTTGAATAACAGTTAAGTCTAAGGGTCATGTAGATTTCAGATAGGATACCAATGATGAGGATGATGATGATTAATGATAATGATGACGATAATGATAGTGATAATAATAATAATAATAATAATAATAATAATAATAATAATAATAATACCAATAATACTAGTACTTATAGTAAGAAGAAGAAGAATGTTGACACACGGGTGAGAACTGAATCGATTGAGTACAGATTTTGTACGTTATTCAAAAACATCACACCTAATAATACTTACGCAGATATTATAAGAAAACCAGGTGTATATTGAGATGTATGATAAACATAACAATGGTAATAGGAATAGGGTTAACTACCAGACGAAATAAATCAGGAAAATATAAGATGATTGATAATTAGGAGGGAAGAGTTAGTAAGGAATATTGAATACGATTAGACGACGTTGTAATTCCCTACCATGGTGAATTCAACCTAAATACCATTTTAAAAACAAGCAATGAAAAGCAAGATTTAATGAAATCATAAATTTCAGTAGTACTCGTCAGCTGGATACTCCACATACTTGATTATTTATACCGTTAAACAATGG